GAGGGACCAGTATGTGCAAAGACCCGGGGGTAGGAAAGAGCTTGGGGTATGTGAAGCCCTAAAGACAAGCTGGCTGGGGCCATGAGCAAGGGGGTAGGAGGCCTGAGGAGGTTGCAGAGTGGCCAGTGGCCTGCTGTTCATCAGTCTACAGTGAGTCCGTCTGATGATACGTTCTCAGTATTTGAGCTCTTCTGCTATTGATGTGAATGGCCCAGCTTCTGTGTTCTAGAATAACCAGGTGCATGAAAGCTGGATTAAATGGTCCACCTCTGTCTCACAGTGGTCTGGGCAGGACCCACTCCTGCCATGCAGGACAGCTGTTTTTTTCCTCAAGCTCCATGGGAGTGGGAGTGGGGCATCAAAGGAAGAGAAGAGATGTTTAGAGAGAGAATGAGACTTTTCCCCCACATCTAAAAAGCTTCCGGGCCTCCCCTGACTGTTGGGGGGAATGTGTCTCACTTGAAAATTAGATCTTCTTCGGTTCCACAGTTCTCTCTGCATGGTGTTCGTTAGACGGAATGGTTGGCCCCCAAGCACCTGGAGTCCGAGATTTCTCGTCATATCGATCACTCTTCAGACTGTGTCTTAGCTGTTCTTAAATTAAAGCTACAGATTGAATCCTCCTCCTCCTCCTTCTCCTCGTTTTTCTTCTTCTCCCCCTCCTCCTTTCCCTTCTTTTTAAAATTGGTGCCAATTCCTAATTTATTGTGGGTGGCACAGAGGGAATTCTTCACACTTCATTTCGTCCTGCTTCCCATTCCAGAGGCTCCCTCTTGTATATCCTGTGTCCCCAGCTAAACCTTCCCCCAACCCATCAGGGCAGGATGTGAGCTCTTCTTTACTATCTTTCTTTCTTTCTTTTTTTTAGATTTTATTTATTTATTTGAGGAGAGAGTGCACAAGAGGAGGGGTGGTGGGCAGAGGCAGAGGGAGAAGCAGACTCCCCGCCGAGCAGGGAGCCCGATGTGGGGCTCGATCCCAGGACCCCGAGATCATGACCTGAGCCGAAGGCAGACGCTGAACCCACTGAGCCACCCAGGCGCCCCTGAGCTCTTCTTTTCATTACAGCTGCTTTGTGGCTGAGGAGAACCTTCCCTCTGGTTTGAGCCTCTCGGTACCCCTTTAAAGTGTTTGTTTCTGTATATTAATTTTTTCCCTTTCCCCAGCTCTTTAAATCTTTGTTGCCCCCCCAACTCTGACAATAGTGTGGTATATAAGGCGGCATTTGTCACCACGAGTGTGCAGAAGGGAAACTGGGGCCCAAACAGCAGTGTGGGGCAGTGGGAAGAGTCTGGCCTTGCCTGGTGGCTTGCTGGCTACAGATCCTTGGAAAGGCACACAACTTTCCAGGGCTGTGTCCTCCTGGGTCGTCTGGGAAAGAGATGATAAGATTTCTGTCCCCGAAAGGTGGTGTGGTGATGGAGTAAAGAGGAAGGGCTTCCAGGCTTCAGGGCCTGGCTCCACCGCTCAGTTCTGTGGTCTTGGGCAAGTCAGCAGGTCTGTTTCCTACTTGTTAAATTGTGATACCCACAGTGACTCTGCAGGATTGTTGTAAATATTAGAGGCAATCGCTGGGAAGTCCCAGCACCATGCCTAGTCTGTGGTAGGATGTGGTAGCTGGCCCGTCTCCTCTACCCTCTGGGACTCAGCTGTTTGTCCAAAGGATCCCCCGTTGTTCATGGTGGGAGCCCAGGGCTCCTGAGTGGGGCTTCCCGTAAATCTCCAGAAGGACATCTGGATACCTCCAATGCAGTTGAGCCTGGGGCAGATGAGGTGTGGTTCAGTGAGGGTTAGCTGTGGAGTGGGACTTCCAGCTGGGGACTCTCAGCAAGGTGGCTGGGGACCATTGAGGGTACACACCAAGAAACGATGAGTCATCAGGATACCTGGCCACTGATGGGTAACCCCTGAGCCATTGCAAATCTACCCTACAGCCCCAGTAGTGGCTGGGAGATCATTCTGTGGACTCCTTTTGATTTTCACGTTGAGGGAGGGGTGTGGCTGTCCCTGTCCCCTGCTCGCTGGGGTGCAGTGATGGTAATGATGCCCCTTATTCAGGGTCTTTTGGGAACCAGGCAGTGTGCTACTTGCTGATCTCTTTGAGACCCCTGCAAGGAGGTGCTGCTAACCCTGTTTTAACAGAAGACCAAGGGCCGAATGGCCAGTGAGGGATGGAGTCAGATTTGAACCCAAGTCTGCTGGGCCCCAAAGCTCATGTTCCATGCATGAAATTGTATGAATTTTCTTAAAATACCGCCCCCCCCATGATGCTTCTCCAGCAATAATCTTAATAATGGAATGCTTGTCCACATTCCAAAACCCACACACTGTCTTATCAGCGCTGATCAACTCATTTTTACTACTGGCCAAACTGAATTTAACCAACTCAGCACTACTGAAAAGAAAATAGGTAAGAGTGCCAAAAGCTTGGTCTAAAATTGGAGGGAGAGCAAGGTGTCCCCTATTTTGGATGCCTTGTGCCAGCTTAGGATGAGAGAGAATTGCACCTTATGTGTGTACATATGCACCTTATATTCCTGGCTTGCCATAGGTAACTTCTTGGGTACTTCTAAAAAACCTACAGATCTTTCATGCTTGCCTTGAACACCACAGTGACTGAAGCATGGCGTGAGGCCAAGAACCAGTTTGGTCCTTATTACAAGCTTCCTTTCATAGCTAGAACGTGCCGTGCTCCTTCTCATCACAGGACCTTTGCACAGGCCGTTCATTGCGCTGGGAACACCTTTTCTCTCCTGTTTCTCTCCTGCCCTCCCTGTTTTGCTTCACTAATGTATTCTTAGGGCTCCGATTAAGGACCAGTTCCTTTGGAAAGCACCACTGACCCTTTTCCATGCTAGGTCTACCCCCGTCACATGTTCTTATAGCAGTAGCCATACTTCTTTAGAACACATCACTATTACAGTTACTTCTAGTTTGTTAATGTTTGTTCTCCCACTAGACTATAAGCTCCATGAAGGCAGGGACCACTTTGGTCTCACCTGTTCTCTGCCTAGTGCCTTGCACTTGCATGGTGCATACCATCACTCAGTCACCATTGGATGGATGAATGCATGTTTGGAGAGATGGATTGAGCCAATTAACCTCACTTCCTCTCCCTTAACTCCAGCCAGTATGGTCTTTTTTTTAACAGGGTAGGGAGGTTTTAATTACCTGCTTCCATGTCTGTCTTGGGCCTCCTTGAGGGAGAACCCATCTTGAGAACCCTGGAGGCCAGCGCAGCACCTGACATATAATAGATGACCAATAACATTTGGCTCTCTGGTTGCCTAAGTATAGCTCTTGCCGGTGAGACAGACAGCTCCAAGGACTCAGGCTGTGGCCAGGGAGCTTGCTGAGAGTCAGGACAGCGCGTTAGTCATGGCAACTGAGGGAAGTACGTCCCTGCTTCCCACCCCACACCACGGTTTAGTTTCTTGCTAATGTCTTCTGTGCCGGTTGCCAGTTACTATATTGACTTATTTGTAAACAGTTATTCCCATAACCTTCTCTTCCCCAACATACAGAGATAATGATATACAATCTTTGTAACAACACAGACATCGCTTCAAAAGCATTCTGTTGCTATAGGACTGTTTATGATGTGCTTCTCGCTAGAATTTCATGAGCAACAAACTTCCAAATTGCAGATGATTTAGCATTTGAAGCAGGGAGTGAGACTATATGAGTGATCGCGTTAAAAAAAAAAGACTTTGAAAGGGGAAGTTTTTCTTCTGTGGAGTTCTCTTCTAAAGTTTAAAATAAGAACTACTTAAAAGCTGAGAGTTTAGAGGAATGAACACTTTCTCTTAAACATTCAAATGGGTGAAAATGACTTGTAATCTCTCCCTCAAGTATTAAGGCAATAGGCATTTAAAGCCTTTTTTTGGAGCTGGCTGTCACAGACAAAGGATTTCTCAATTTTAAAAAAAATCATTTTTATGGCATTAAATAGTAGGAATGAACACCAGCAGCCCTCTTGACATCTCGGAACTGATTTATTTTCTGAAATGTCCCAGTCCGTTTTAATAGATAACACTTTGTTCTTCCTGTTCAGGGCGGTAGCTTTGGCTGGGGTTGCCCTAGTTAGGGCTGGGACGTTTTGACTAGGTTCCATGAGCCCCATGCTCCATAACCTGAACCCAGCGAGTTCCACTGGCTCTGTCCCGACATTTTCCCTGAAGTTCCTGCAGTGGCCCTCCTTCCCGGAGAGAGACTCTCTGATCTGTAGTCCAGAGGGTGAATTTGGCATCAGCTGCATTGCTAGCCACCCTCTCAAGAGATCAGCCAGACATCTTGGGAAAGCCTAACCCTGTACAAACCTCTACTGAGGCTATTCAACTGTGGCTTGTGGAATGGCGCGGGCTGCAAATTGCTTAGCCGTCCACGAGACGAGTACAGAAATGGTGAGGAAGCGCTTAGAAACTTCCATCCCAGTTGGACAGAGTAATCTGTTGAGTCGGATAACTGAAGAGGTGGTGCTTTGGATGAACATGTTTTTCATTTCATTTGTCCACCAGTTCATTTTCATTACCTTTTATAAAAAGAGTTATCTGCAATGGATTGGAAATTAAAACACAAAGACAACTCATCCTTCCTGCCAAGTTCTTTGGGAAGGCCTGTGGGTAGCACTTGTGAGCTGCCTCTGCTCCCCTGTGGGACAGGTAGGCTGTTGAATGAATTTGGGGAAATCGCAGCACTTACCAAATTATATTGTAATGAAACATGTGCACGTCTCTCTCTCTCTCTCTTTCTCTCTCTCTCGACTGATTCTTGAGAGCAGGGAGTGCATCTAATTCATCTTTTTAGCCTCATTCCTCAGATCCCCGCATGGCACATCGTAGGGTGGGGAAATGTTTGTCCCATCCATGCCTGCCTGTTCCCCGAGGACATGAGAGTGGGTGAGGCCAGCCTCAGGAACTCCCTGGGCTTCTGGATGGTATCCTCTGCAGGACGGTAATGGAGAGCTAGGAACAAACCCTTTCCTTCTCTTTCTTCTGCAGAACCAGGCCTCCCCTTCCCACCTGCCCAGAAGCATGAGAGCAGCATGACTGGCCAGCTGCAGGAGAAGCCCCCAGAGCCAGGCCCCCAACTCAACCATCTGCTGCGGAGGTCAAGGTAAGCTGGCTTGCCTTTCTCCTGGAAGGCTCAGGCATTTTTATTGTAACTAATACTCTGTGCTTCTGTGATCTCGTACCACGTGCTGGAAGAATGGGGTTTACTGGCACATGGGTGGGCTTAGAGAGTGCATGGCAGCCTAGCAGGGCAAAGCCTGCTCACTGCACTTAGTAGAGAGGCCGGTGATGGAGAAGAAAGGGTACCAAATTGAAGATCAGGGGACTAAAGCTCTCATTATTCCTCCACCACCTCCTGAATCTGGGACCTTCCGCAAATCTTTTGGGGATTACATATCCAGGCAATTTGGGGTGAAGGAATCTCTGGAAAGAATGAGCATTAGAAGGTCAGTTAGTCTGTAACCTGGGACAGGGTTGTAAGGGGTCTTAAAGGATCAGCCAGGCCATTCCTAACCAAAGTTGAACAGTGAATTATTGGAAATTTCTTCCTAATTTGGGTACAACTCTTCTTCCCTGTGATTCCTGTCTGCCTCTCCCTGCTATGCCATTTGGAACCACAAAGACTGGGCTTTCCAAATCTCTTCCACATGAGTCTCCTTCAGATGGGAAGATGGTGTTCATGGCTCTGCTTTTCTTGTTTGTATCCATTCTCCCTGGAGACTGGCCCCACTCACCTTGGCCTCTTGTCCCTCTCCGTGTTGGAACGGGCTCCCGCACTCACTCAGCCTCTTCCAGCCTCCACAGAGAATTCTCTCTGCTGACCATTCTTGGGTCAGGACATCTTAAGAGCCTCCTTTATGACAGTCACTGCGCTAGACTCAAGGTGCATCAAGACAAAACAGGTTTGGATCCTCGGAGATAGTTTGAAAGAAGCATAACCCCTTTGGCGTGCTCCCTTTTCATTATTTATCTCTCTTCAACTTTTTTCTCAAACGTTCCATGAGCGCTCGAAAAAAATGTGTATTCTCTAATTGTTGGATATAGTTTTCTATATAGTATGGTCAAAATCAGTTTGTTCATTGTATGGTTCAAATCATCTATAGTATGACCTTTTCTATTTTTGTCTGATTAATCTATCAGTTATTGAGAGAAATGTGTTAAAAATCTCCCACTGGATTTGTCAGTTTCTCCTAGTAGTGCTGAAATGCTTGTTTTCTATATTTTAAGGCAATGCTGTTTGGTGTCTAGATGCTTAGAATCAGTGTATATTATTGATGGGTTGAGATACATTTCTACCACCTTTATATACTTGCAGCTTTTTCTGCTCTTTCTTTTGGACTGAGCTGTTTGCCCCACTTGTTCCGTTTTCCATCTTCTTCTTTGGAAGTTCTACGCTCTCTGTCTGTTCTTGCAGTGGTTAGTCCAGCTGTTGTAGCTGGCATACTTACCAAAGTCTAAAATTAATCAGGGTCTTTACTTTCCTCCCCAGCAATGCAAGAGCCATAGACTGGTTCAGTTCTCGTCACTGCCTCTCCCGATCTACGTACAATTAGCATCCCATGCTTTCATTCTATCCTATGTTTTTCCCTACCAGTCAGACATCACTGTTTTATACAGTCAGTGTTGGTACAGATGTACCCACATACTTATCATTATCTTTTCTTACCATTCTTTCATGAATCTCACATCATTTTCCCTCTGCTTGAAATAAATCCTTTAGCATTATTAGCCTTTAGTGAGAGTCTGGTGGTGTTGAACTCTCAAGTGTTTTTCCTGGTCTGGTTTGGTTTGGTTTGGTTTTTGGCTTTTGTTGGCTTGAAAATGTCTTTATTTTGCTCTCCGTCTTGAAAGGTGGCTTTACTGAATTTATTCTCTTAGGTCACTGAAGCCATTATTTTATTGCTTCTGGCTTTGAAATTGCTGTTGAGAAGTCAGCTGTCAGTCCAATTGCTGTTCCTCTATAAGTGACCTGGCATTTCTCTCTGACTGTGTTAAAAACATTGTTTTGGGGGCACCTGGGTGGCTCAATTGGTTAAGTGTCTGCCTTCAGCTTGGGTCATGATCCCAGGGTCATGGGATCAAGCCCCGCATCGGGCTCCCTGCTGGTCAGCGGGGAGTCTGCTTCTCCCTCTCCCTCTGCTGCTCCCCCTGCTTGTGCTCTCTCTGTTTCTTAAATAAATAAATAAATAAATAAATAAAATCTTAAAAACAACAACACACTGTTTTCTTTGGTGTTCTGCAGCTTCCATTACCATGTAACTAGGTGTAAGTTTTTCTGTCTTCATTCTGCTTGGGTTTTATTGGGATTCCTAGAGCTAAAAATGGGTGTCTTTCAACAGTCCTGGGAATTTCCCATCCTTCATTTCTTTGAATATTGCTTCTTTTCCATTCTCTTTAGTATCTTCTTCTGGAACTCCTGTTAGACTTATGTTAGACCTTCTCACTTTCTGTTCTCTGTAGCTCTCAACCTCTCTTTCATATTTTTCATCTCTTTGTCTCTCTGGGCTGACCTCTGAATAATTTCTTCAAATCTGCCTTCCATTCAGCTCATGTATTCTGGGTCTCAAATGCTCTTTAATCCACCCACTGATTCCATCCATTTTCCTTTTGGTTGTTTTATTTATCATTTCTAGGAGTTCTGGCTCATTATTTTTCTGCTTGGTGATTTTTTTCTAGTCTCTTATTTCTGCTCATTTTTGCAAACTTCTCTTTTAATTTCTTTAATCTATGGAAGTAGCTATTTAGAAATTGTAAACTCTCATGTCTGGGAATTCCAGACTCTGAAATCCTTGGAGGCCTAGTTCTGCTGTCAGTTATGTCTGCTGGCTAGTACTCATGGTGCCTTGTTTCCAGCAAGCTGCTTATTTTCCTTGAAACTTTGAGAATTATTTGAGGTATTCATTGACATTGACTTTTCCAGAGAGAATTTGTATTAATTTCTGCTAATTGTTTGGGGTCAGTAGCAACCAAAAATCACTTTAAGTTAATTTTCTACCCAAGAGTTCTCTGGTTACATAAGAAACATGAATTCAAACTCCAAACCCATGTGAGGTCTAGCTTGTGGTTACATATTTTCAGGAGCGGGGTGCCTGGGTGACCCAGGTAAGCGTCCGACTCTTGATTTTGACTCAGGTCATGATCTCAGGGTCCTGAGATAAAGCCCTATGTTGGGCTCCATGCTCAGCACAGTCTGCTGGAGATTATCTCCCTCTCCCTCTGCCCCTCCCTGCCTTCTCTTTCCCTCTCTAAAAAAGAAAAAAACCCACAAATTTTCAGGAGAGATTTGTCTCCCATTCCACCAGCCCAAGGTCAGGTTTCTTGGCAGTTTCCTTCTGTGTTGTTCATTTATTTCTCATTCACTGAGCGTGGAGCCCCAACTTTATGGAATGAGGTTTTTTTTCTCCTGTCTCTTGAACACTGTGCAGCTCTCACGGCGGACATAGAATCTCTAGGGTTTGACAGGAACCCTCAGGGCAGAAGTCAACTTTGCTGCTAGCTCACCTCCCAGGATTCCTGCTTCGGGGTTGTGTTTGGTCTTTGAAGAATCCTTGCATTGGTCCGAGCTCAGTGATGTGTATCCAATTTTCATATTTTAAATTTTATCCAGCATGTTAGTTATTTCGATTGGGAAGGTCAAGTAGGGTATCTGGTCTGCCATACTGCCCGAAAGTATATCTTCTTTCTTCTCCGCCATAGCTCCATACGGCAGGAATTACTAGTCCTTATCACAGAAGAGTGAACCACAGCTCGGCGACAGCTTGTAACTGGCTGCAGTCACAGGGCTAGCAGGTGATGCACTGTGAAGAGTTCGTTCCTTCCTGTCTGCTTTTCCCACTTTCCCTCTCCCCAAGGTAACTCTTGACCATTTTTGGTGGATGAACTTTATGCTCACAAAGGATATGAGTCCCTACCAGAATGCTTTAAATAGCTGGGCAGCTTTGTAAAATTTGTTTATGAATCTATTGTTTATCTTCCTTGAGAGAGGAAATGGCTTCTGCATATTTTGTGGCCTATTTCTCCAGCAGTCACCAGCAACTTTCCTGCTTCGTTCCCACTCCTCAAAGGCCTGCTGGACCCAATGCCAGACCCCATGTGCACCTCCTCCAGATCCCAACTTCCTCTCCTCTGCATGCCACTCTCTCTTTCCCACTCTCCTCCCTTCCCTTGCCCCCGCCCCCATCCTTTCTGCTGTTGGATTTTCTGTCTCCTGGTGTGTGCCGTTCATCGGAGGGGAGGCCACAGAGCACCGTCATTAGGCTTTTTGAGCTTTGGGGGCAGGGAGAAGGAACTGAGTTTGAACCTTGCTCTGCTACTTACTAGCCCGGTGTCTCTGAGCTTCACTTTCTTCATCTGTAACATGGAGACAATAGACAGAGCTACTTAAGGACTAAATAAGACAGTGCATGTATGGGGCACCCGGGTGGCTCAGTGGGTTGAGCATCTAGCTCTTGATTTCGGTTCAGGTCATCATCTCGGGGTGGGGAGATTAAGCCCCATGTCAGGCTCCACACTCACCCTGTTTCTCTCTCTCTTTCTCTCTCTCTCTCAAATAATAAATAAATTAAAAAAAAAGACAGTGCACATAGAGCTCATGACAGGAGCTTGGAGCCTCACAGCCCTCAGTCTATGATAGTCAATATCATTATGACTAAGACACATCCTTCAAGCCCCGAGCTTTTGTTCAGTGATGCTTTTAAGGGGACAAGAGCTGGTTTATGAACCGCAATGAAAATGGAGGCAGAAATCTAGGGGCAGTGTGGGATTTCCAGCTTCACTCTTATGTACTTCAAACTGGGGGTGTTTTTAAAGACAGTTTGAGGGAAAACAGAGCACACCTGTCCAGCCAGTGTTTGCAGAGGATATAAACTGTGGGTTCTGGAAATGAGGTACTCCAGAATCTCAGCCCTCCCTCCAAGCCAGGCCCTCTGATGACACCACTCACTGGGTACTTTCCCCTTGTGGACAGCCCCCCAGGTTAAGGATGGCACAACCACCCTGCCGGACACATGTCCAGCAGGGGTGAGAGAGGTGGTCCTCACTGTCCATTTTACTTTCGTTCTTACAGCTGATGTGACACTTTATTTCACACACTCCCCTCTATTA